CGTGTGTAGACACAGTGCTGGTCCAGGAAGTAGGTGCAAGTCCTGCTACTCGTGGGCCCTGCTCATACAATGCTGGCAGAGGTGGACCTTGCCCACCACAGTGGAGTCCCATGGACACGAGGGACGGGAAAACAAGGGCCACCTTGCTGCTACAAGTCAGACTGCAGGCTTCCTGTTGAGCCTTCTGAGCCTGGGACGGTGGGAGGCGGGAGCAGGCCCTGCTGTCTTGCTCCGGCTCTCGGATGCAGGGAAATCTGGGTGGCGGCGGCTCCTGCCCAGGGGGCCATGGAAGGCCAGCTCCCCTCGCCCTGCTGACACAGCCGGCACTGCCTGCTCTGGGGGGTGCAGAAGAAGGTGGGTCGCCACTGGCCCGGCTGACACGGGCTGTGAGGCCCAAGTGCCCCTGCTGTTTGTTGTGGGGCGGGGGTTGTCAGAAAGGCTCTCCCTTGAGCCTCCTGGGTGTGTGTCTGCAGCTGGTCCAGGTCAGAGCCTCTGCAGCTCCTGGTCCAGGGGCTCGGGCAGGGGTGCGGGGAGCTCACCAGCCCGCAGCTCAAGTCCCAGGGTCCCACGTGGGCCGCCTTCGCTCCCCTTCCAGGTCTCGCCCACCTGTGTGTCATGCCAGGTTTGGAGTCATAAGGGGAGGGCATGGCGGAACGGGGTGACTGACCAGAAGGGAGCACGGAGACCTTTGGAAAAGCCAGCATCTCTGTGTTTTCCATCACCCTTTTCTCTCCCTGTCCTAGAAGAATAGCAGGGGTTTATTTTCTTGAGAGAAAATAGCAGATCTCTGGGCCGAGGAACACCAGATAAGGTGCAAAGTCCCCGCAGTGACCGGGGGCCTTTGGGAAGGTTTCCATAGTGATGCTGAGCTTCCCCTCAGTTTCCTGGCAGCACCTATGCCTCACAGACAGGATCTTCCCCAAAGACATGACCAGCCCCGAGGCCCCGTGAGGTGGCCCAGCAGAGCCCTCCAGGCCCCACCTGCCCTGTGAGCGGATGGCTGGGCCCACCACACCCTTGAGGACAGCATCCAGCACGAGAGCAAGGTCTGGTTTATGCCCGCCACACTGACCTGACCACGGAAGCAGCCGAGAGAGACAGGCCTCCCGGAGAGAAGAAAGCTGCAGAGCGGACACAGTGTGCTCGTAAAGCCGCGACAAGGCATCTGAAGTATACAAGAATATCCAAGGAACCACCACCAAACAACAAGAAATTTTAGGAAACATCACTGTAGAAATACAATAAGAACAGGCTGATAAATCTGAGAATATGCTACAGAAAGTAGAATAAAAAGATGAAAAATAAGATCAAAAATCTTTTTAAAACAGAGCACGAATTCAGGAAGTTCAACACCCAAATGATACTAGTCTCAGAAAGAAGGACTAGAGAAACCGAGGAGAAGAAATAATCCAGGAATAACCCAAGAGAATCCCCAAGGACTGAAGGGCAAGGTCTCTGGAGGCTGCTGAGCGCCCGGCACAGCCCATGAGCACAGGCCCGAGCGGGTCTCTGCAGGTGGAACAGGCATCAAGGACAAGACGCTTAGGCCCCGAGAGAGACGGACAGAGGCACACACCTCCATCGCCGCACAAGTCAGTGCAGGGAGAGAGGCCGCATCACTCAGCAGCCCGGCACCTGGCACCCGGCCCTCGGGAGAGGCCGCCAAGCTCCAGCCTACGGAGCAGGGGGTTGGCAGAGGGGTCCAGGCTTGGTGGTCCCGCCATTGCTCACAGGCGTGCCTGTGGCCCAGGAGAAGGAGTCCTGCTGACCAGAGGCTTCCCCGTCCGACCTCCCAACGGAGCTGCCAGTTGGCGGGGAGTGTGAGGTTGCAGAGGCTCCTGCAGGCTGGCCCTGGCCTCCCCAGCCGATCCTGAGACACCCGGTGCTGGCCCAGGAACTCATGGCCTGTGAGCATCAGGGCTGGAGGGCTGCCTCACCTGGTGGCACCACCTTTCCACCAGGACCACTCGCTGAGGCCCACGGCCCCAGGTCTGAAAGGAGGAGGCATCAGCAGGTCTGACATGCAGGGAGGCTAGTTTTGCCCTCAAGGCCTGGGCTGTGGGTGGGGGCTGGGCTGCCATGGCCCTGTCCAGCGGTGCCCTCGTCTCTGAGATTGCCCAACCGTTCTGGGAGCTCAGGGGGCAGGGCCTGTGTCCTCCTGATTGTAGACTCATGGGTGCACAGAAGACAGGGTGTTCAACAACGATTTGTTCAATACAAGACTTTTTTAAAAAATGAGGCAGGGTCTAGCACCTGGCCTTCTGGAAGGGGTGTGGGTGGGACCAGGGGGCACAGTGCCTGCCGTCCTCGAAGCAGGGGTCCTAGGCCGGTGGAGAGGGTCTGGGGCCGGGCCAAGAGCAGGGGGAGGGGCCGGCAGGTGCGGCAGAGCCACAAGCGACTCTGGGGGACTGAAGTCCACCTGGCCACTGAATGCAGAGACCACACTTAGGATCTGGCTGCCACGTGACAGCAGTAAAGAGAGCACCAGGATTTGTTCTGGGGGAAAGGCCCACAGCGTCTGCGTCCATCTCTGCGCAGGTTCCCCTGGTTTGCTGGTTAAAGAGCAGCATTCCGTGTGTGCACACTTAACACATCACCTGTGTCTCACATCCTCGACCCCACACACTTCACAGGTAACACACCCATTTGCCCACGTCCGTCCCCGTCCCCGAGGACCACAGGCTCCCCGGTCACCAACAGCAGGCTACAAGTGGCCCACTCGTGGGGGGAACAAGAGATTAGGAAGGTGCCTGGGGGGCCTCTAGGGTCCCGTGCCCTCCCCTGCAGGAGGCGCGGGAGCAAAGGGGCCAAGGTGCCTCTCATGGGGGGTGCGGGTGGCTGCTACCCTCCAGTGCCCTCCCCACCCGCCCCTCCCAGCTGAAGGGCCACCCTGAGTGGCCCCGTGCAGCTTCCCAGGAAAGCAAAGTGTGGCGTGTGACATGGGAAACTGGGGCATGGCACCACTTGGGAACATTTACCATGAAGGGGATGCTGGGAGGAGCAGAGGCAAGGGGTACGCAGGGTGAACAGGGTAGTGAACCAGGCGGTAAACCGGGGGGTGAACCATGGGGTTGAACTGGGCGGTGAACCGTGGGGTTGAACCGGGGAGTGAACCAGGGGGGTGAACCGTGGGGTTGAACCAGGGGATGAAATGGGGGGTGAACCGTGGGGTTGAACCAGGGGATGAACTGGGGGGTGAACCGTGGGGTGAACCATGGGGTTGAACCGGGGGGTGAACAGCGGGATGAACCGGGGGGTGAACCAGGGGGTGAACCGGGGGGTCCATTCGCGCCATAGCAGCTGAGGGGCTGGCAGGGCCTCACAGACCTTGTTTCCTAGCCACTGGTCCTGGGAAAGGGCCGGGGTCGGGGGCTCCCCGTGGCTGTGCTCGGTGGACCCTGGAGCCTGCCCAGCAGGGGCCCTCACCACAGGGCTACGGGGGAAGCACGCGATGTGCTGTCACACGTGGTTCCAGCCCTCCCTGGAGCGGCCAGAAACTCAGAGGGCAATGTGCACGTGTCCCGGCAAGTGGTCCACACAATTGTCGACCCAGTTTTGATTAATTAACCACAAAAGCTCGTCTCCCACAGTTGCTTTCACCAAACAAGACGGTGGGGGCGGGAAGCTCTGATCTTGATATATGAGATATCCCTGATAAAGCCTTTTATTTAGATGTTAAAGATAAATAAAAAGGAATCCACCCAAAGCGTGCCAGCCCATGCAAATGTGAGCGTAGCTGGCCCTGCTCGGCCAACAGCAGACCAGGGCCTGGACAGCACGCTCGCATCCCTCACATGCTGCTGCCTCCCTGCTGACCCCTGGGTCCCCATCCCCGCCCGGCCCACCGCCAAAGCCCCCCCCAGACACCAGTTCTCGCAGCACCTCTGCTGTGCTTTGGCAGCCCCATGCTGCTGACATGATTTTATGTGAGTGACATCCCCTCTAACCCCCATTACTCTGTAACATTCAGGAAGACAGACAAGATGCACCCCTGCTCACCCTGCTTCGTCCTCACACTCAGCCCAGGGGACACCCACAGCACATGCTCGCATCTGAACAAGTCAGAGGATAACAAAATGGCAACTGCAGAATCGGGGGGGGTCCCCAGGGACAGCTATTTATGAGGCCAAGGTCCTGACATGAGACAGGCTCCAGAAACGATGGGAGAAACCTGGAACCTAGAGGGGGGCCATCGCCTGCACCCACACACTTCCCGTGGGGAAGTCCACGGCCCACACATCATCTCGCACCCGGTCCTCACAACCCGCAAAGGAGGGCTGCCCACCCAGCGCAGATGAGCAAACAGCCCCGGGGGGCACACAGGGTCTGGACAGCTCACGCCCCAACCCCTGGCCATGTCACCAAGCAGCAGGGTGCTCACCCACCCCGTCTCCCCAACCTGCCGAAGCTCCTGAGGATGGGAAACTGGATGCCCCGTGCCTGGAGGCCGGCGGCAGGTGCTCAGAGCACCCCAGAGCCCAGGCTGCTTGGCCTGCACTCACTTTGCACCCAGAGGTTCTGGGGAGACGCCACCTATTTGCCCATCGGCCACTTTTCAGTAACAAACTGAAACAACAGGGCCAACTGGGGGAGCCAAGGGGAGTTGGCAGTAGGCCCTCAGAGCTCCAGCGAGGTCTCCCTGAAAACCTCCTCCTTCAGGACCTGCTACCTCTCCTGGCCCAGGAGGTGGGTGGCGTGCTGCGTCAGGACAGGGTTGGGAGGATCGGGAAAGCCCCTGGGGAAACAGGCGTGTTCTGAGCTGGCCGGACACACGGACTGAAGGTGGCCTGGCTGACATTAGGGAAGCGCCCTGTGAGCGGCTCTCTTCTGAAACAGGGCCGTTCGTGCCCGGCTCCAGACAAGCCCCTCCCGCACCGACGGCAGAACCCGGCACACCCCTCAGTGCTGGGGGCACAGAGCCAAGTCTCCGTGCAGAGGACTCCGACCGGACGGAGCGCGATTCGGGAAGGCAGGCCCGGAGGCCGCAGGTGCCGACGTACCTGAGCGAGCTTGCCTCCTCCCTGGACAGTGGGAAGCTCTGCTCGGCGGCACTGGACTGAGACTGTAGCATCTTCACCTCCATCTCCAGCTGCGAGAAAGCACAAGCGGGTCAGCGGGAGGTGCTGCGGCTGCCCCGCCCCCCCACCCCCACGGGGCCTGAGACCGGAGATCCTGCACCTGGCTCCCGGGGCGGGGGGCAGGGTGACGCTGCGGGCAGAGCCGCCGCCTCCTGGGCTACCCCTGTGTCCCGGGGACCCGGGACGGCCGGACCTCAGAGCCCACCAGACACAACCTCCCTCTCAGCGCCCACCTCTGGGGCAGCAACAGACCCACACTCACTCTGGGGCATGCTGACGGGAAACATCAAAATCTGGGGAAAGGGGGTCACAGCAGCTGGAAAGAACATAGTCCACGTTTACCAATGCTTTGTCTGCTTTAATAGTCATGGTATCTTATTTATTTGCTGCTTTGAATTCCCTTGCAGAATTACAGATGACACAGATTGCCTGGGAGGGAACGAGGACTGGAGATGTACAGAAGCTGGAGAAGGAGCAGGGAGGGGTTCCTGCCCGTGGTCCACATGCAGGAACAGGGGCAGTGGCGGGGGCCTTCACAGGAGCAAGGCCGCAGTCTGTGTACAGCCCCCAGAACTCCTGCTCCCTGAAAAGCACGCCTCCTTCCCTGACCCCAGCTCCTTGCTCAGGACACCCAAGGCTGTTCCTCAGGGCCCCGTCTGGCAGATGTGGCTCTGCACCCGTCATTCTGACCGGGGTCAGTCTTTCTGACCGCTGTCCGCCCAGTTCTTGGGTCAGAACGGATGCTCGGTGACTGACTGTGCAACAAGACAGGAAAGCAGGGGGGCGGTGGGCCCCTCACGTGCACCCAGGATGGTCTGCTCTGGCGCAGACATGGGTTTCGAGGCTCCTCTGTGGGAATCTCAGATGGTGGGGGGCTCTGCGTGCTCCCGAGTTCACAGCATTCAGCCTGTGTCACGTGAGAGAACAGGAAGGCCGGCAGAGGTGGCAGGTGGGCCTTCGTCTTTCACAAGGCTTTCCCGCAGGTGCAGCCCTGTGGGTGGCGGGCTCACCACCAAGAACGCAGAGCTGTCAGCCTTCGCCACTCCTCATCAAACAAGACCCAGTCCGCGGCGCAGATGTCCCCAAGGGGCTCTGACAAGTCAGTACTCGTTAGAAATGACCTTAGTCGGCTGCAGAAAGCAGCACGGGTGTGAGCTGACCAGTGTCTCAAGCTCCAGAGCCCCACGGAAGCCGCTGAATGGGACAACGACCATGACAGTCTGGTGAGTGCTGCAGGGGGAGCTGATGGGGTGGGGGTGCAGGGCAGACACGAGTCTCCCTACCTCATCGGGGGGTGGCCTGCACACAGCTCCCACGTGGCCCCTCCCCGCAGCGGCCTATCCTGATGCCCCAAAGGGAGGCCACTCGACCTCCCCACCCGACTGTGCACGCCAGGGGACAGGTAATTTCAGGAAGAGACCTCCCGCCAAGCCCACCCAAAGGTACAGGCTAGGAATGATGTGTCCAGTCCGGGTCTGCGGACCCGCCTCACTACCCTCTGGGCCTCGCAGCTGAAACCCCTGCCCCTTCACCGGGGCGGCCGAGAGCTCCCAGTCCCGCACCAGCACGTGGACGATGCCGCTGTCCTGAGCTGGGCACCGACGGGGTCTGTGGGAACGGTGCTGACGATCAGCATGGCCCGGGGCTGAGGGAACAGAGTGTGGCTCCACGTAGCTGCCTTCCTGGGCCTGAGGGAGCAGCCTTCTCGAAAACGTCCTCTCTAGGCTGTTCCTGGAAAGGTCCTCCTGGGGCAACTTATTTAGGAATTCTTGGGCCCGAGGCATCCAGTCTGTATGAAACCCTGATACTAATCATCGAGGTCCCAAGTGGGACCAGCACATACGTGGGTGACCCCAATCCTGCTGGTCGTGGAGAGCAAGCTCGAGTGGGAGTGGCCTCCGTGAAGTCCCCAGAGGAAAGGAGAGAGTCAGAGTCCCCACACATGCCCGCCCCAGTGCCCACTGGCCACAGTCCCCCTGCACAGGGCAGGGACGAAGTGACCCCGCCGTGGCACCACAACGTGGAACAAGGCCTGCTCATACTCAGAGAAGCGGTGGCCACCGTGTCCGGGGCCCTTCCTGCTCCTCCCACACATACACCTCCCTGAACTGGCCAGGCTCCTCACTCCTTTCTGATGCCGCCTGGATGCTTATGCAGGAGCTGGTGGTCCCTGTGTCCTCTTCATGGCCACAGCCAAACAGGCCAGTGGACACACGGACCTCGCTGGACCAGGCCGGCTCTCCTGGAAGGACACAGAACCAGCCTGAGCGCAGTCTGGGCTGATCCCTCTCCGTCTCTTTGAGCAGAGCAGGCTGCACACCTCACAGCTCCAAGTGCCCGTGCAGCAAAGCTGGTCTGCGGAGCTGCAAGACAGGACGCTCCGCAGGGACGTCACGGTCCCGGCCCAGGCCCGCACCCCTCCCCCCAGGTGCTGTGACCACTGTGCAGCCTCAGGATCCGAGGGTCAGACGTGGGACACAAGGCATACACACCCCAGAGGGCTCTGCAAAAGCACCCTGGTCACCCCGGTGCTAGCTGCAGCCACCTGGAGCCGTCAGGCTGTGCGGCTCCAGAAACAGTCTATGCTTCCGCCCGCAAATAGGAATCGGCTCGTCCCCTAACTTATCTCTTCATTTACTGTTAGAAAAACGGTAAGACAGCCTCACCTTGTTTGGTACTCTGGTTTTCTCACTCAATCTATTTTGCAGAGATTTCCAAACCAGTGCAGACAGCCTCCCGGGTCACGTCTGTGGCCCCGTGGAACTCCCACCTCCTGCTGGCCCGTCTCCAGGGACGAAGGTTTGTGCCACTTCCCACCTGACAGCATGAAGTCATGCTGCGGCGAGGCCGCTCTCGCATGCGCTGGTCCCCCCGCCGGCCCCTGGTGTCCCCATACGAGGATCCTGAGGCGTGACATCCCCGTGCCGACGTCCGACTCCACGCTGTCACCAAGTTCTGCGTCTGCTTCTGACTTCCTCCTCCATCCGCCGTTCTGTCCACGACAGTTCCAGGGTCCTTCCTCTCTCCCACCCCATCCTTCCCCTCAAGCTCCTCAACAAAACAAAAACCGAAACCCTTTCAGAAGATACTGGGATTGGGTTAAATGCTCAGACCAGGGAGTCAGCGTGTGAGCAGGCGGCCGCCTGTCCGGCTCACGGGGGCGCCTCGGCCTCACGCACTGGCCAGGGGCAGCCAGCGGGGACTGAGTACCCTGGTCTGCGGCTCTCAGCGGGCGGGCTCGGCACATAGTCACGTCCGCTGTGAGAGCGACGGCCCGGGGCTGCCCCCCACACCAGGAACCCCGGACGTCCCGAGCTGTCTGTGGCGTCCCTGGAGCGGAAGCTCGTATCGTCCTATTTACAGCACGTCAGTTTTGGGTCGAAAGAGATACACTCTATTATGCTGAGAAATTATCCATATGTTCACATTTTATTAAGACTAATGTTGGGTTTTTGTCAAACGCCTTTCAGCAAATATGGAGCACTTGCCCTAAAAACAATCCAGCAGTCCAGCACGGGGGAAACCGTGGGGCGCGGCTGGGGCCTGTGGGCTCCGCACCCGACCCGTGGGCAGCCTGAGCCCCTGCGCGCACGATGCCCACACGGCACAGTCGTCGCTCACCTCCAAAGAGCCTCCCCCTCCATGCTCTGGTCAGCGCGCACGGCACGCATGGGGTTCGTGTTCGGACGGCCTCGCAGATTGCCCCCTAAAACTGCCTCAACCTGAGGCGACTGGTTTCTGCTGCTTCTCTCTGGGGGAGGGCAGGGGGGCCATTGGGCAACACCTGTATATTTAATCTCTTTAACATTTCTATCACTTCTGGAGTCAAAGTATTCATTTCATTCAGATTTTTATTTAAGTTGAGCTGTGGTACAACTCACATCTATTCTTTTTAGATTTACTTACGTGTTTGCTCTATTTCCCCTACCGTCGAGGTACGGCTCGCACAAGGTCCAGTGCAGGAGCCCCAGCTCCATGACCATGTGTGTGTTCGCACCTGCGGGGTGCTGCTGAGCAAGACCCGCACGCCCTCCCCGCCAAAAACTCTGGTTCTTCTCAGTCCTCACGTGGAGGGGGGTGCGTCTACTCAGTTTTCACTGGGACTGTGGGGGATTCATACATTGAACTGGCTTTATTTCGGGCACGGGCACTTGGATTTATTATTTCCACTGTTTTTCACTTTCTTATTAATTTCAGCTTTGATCTTTGCAAATTCCTACTTTTTGCTTGACTAGGGCTTATTTTGTTTTCCTTTCCTGAGTTCCTGAGCGGGGTCTTTAATCTATCTCTATTCACGCTTTCCTGCTCAATAATATAAATATTTAATCTGCAATTTTTCTTCTCAACCCCGCTCTGCTTCCCATAGGCTCTGAGACGTGTTTTCTGGATTCTGTGCATTTCTGGATACCCTTTCTTCTTCGACCCAAGAAACGCTGAGGACAGAGGTTTGGGTTCTGTTTCTTTCTTGTTTTGTTCATAAATCTCAAGTTCATCACGTGTCTGCGTTAGTTCTACCTGTCTGAGCTCAGGAAGGTTTCCTGTATCACCAATATACGGTGAATTCTGGTGAGCGTTTCCTATGAGCACTTTATTAAAAGAGTCTTCTTTAGTTTTGGGCTTGAGGGCTTTATCTAAAATGGACTGTTCCTTCCATCACTTATTCTTGGCCCACTGAGAATATCATGGGTCACAAACTCTTCTACTGCTGGCGCCCTCGAGGACTCCCCGGAATCTCTCCCCATCTCTGCTCTTTCTGAACATCGATGATCTATCTGTAGCCTGTTTATCTTGTTTACTTTTTTGTGTGAAATGAGTTTGCATCTTTTTGTTCTAGCGGTTGCTTTTATAACTCTTCCCTTGACGTAATACCTGCACTTCTCTGTTTTTGACAGTCCCTGTTTGCCTCCTCCACCGATGCGTGACCCTTCTTACTGCTCACTTTCGACAGCTAAATGTGCTCTCGCTACACGACGTTAACTTCAAATGTTTTAACCTTCAGCTACCATGGCGG